GATCTAAACGAAGTTCTTCGCATTTTTAATAACATGGCGAATCGTAGAATTCAGCTGTTTTAAATGTTTTTTATTATTATGTTAGTTAATTATTATAATAAGTACGCAAAAACAATCTTATGATCTTAATGATATTTTTGGTCGTTTCTATTTACTCGTATCACCCCACCCAATAATTAATTATTACCTCACTCTCACTCAGACGTGGATCTCTACATCCAAATCTGGAAGTTCAACCATCTTATTCACTTGTTCTTCATCATTGAGGATTTAATAGTTCTTAGATCCATGCTCACGCACTGTCACAGTAATTATTTGTCTACGAATAACTATTCACATGATGGTGATATACATGGTGATTGATTTAGGAGCCCGTGTTTCGACGGCAGATCAATTATGATAATTTTTTTACTTCCGCCCTACCTGTAACTAATGCTGCCCTACCTCAAATTCGACCCTAGCTACGGCCCTGCTGTAATTTCGCAAGAAATTGTGTAAAATAACCTATTTCGCATTATGTAAATAGCTCTTAGTATCGTACCCTTTAATCCCATTGCACACTTACTTGCGACAGTGACCACCCTCCTGGCGTGGTCCGTTATATCATTATTATATGTATAATATAACAACGTTTATAGTCGTGCCGTACCCTTATTTCGTACGGGTCAAGTAACAACCTTAGAAGAATGCCCCTAAACTTTATCCGTGCATTTCTTTTGTACATTGTTCTCGTATAATGAAAATAATAAACGTTTCTATTTAGTGATAATGAAACGTCAGTGAGTAAGGCTTGACATTGTATCCTCACTCTGAGTCTCAAGTCTTTATGACGAAGATATAAATATAAACTCCATTACATAGAAGCTTTTTGTGTACATGAAGCCTTTGTAAATTTTTTTTAAAGAGGCCGTTATTTGCTTTGAGTTTGGTTTTATACGACTGTTAATAAACCCGAGTTCGTGCGAAGTCAAGGAATTTTATCAAGTGTGAATCAGAGTACGCGTTTATTTCTACTTTTCTTGGAATTTTATAATAAATGTGTCATGTCATGTCATGTCATGTGGGCGCTTGACTTAACCTTTTCAGTTTTTTTTTACGATAAATTTATAACTGAATGATTCTGTGCTTGATTGTTGTTGCTGCTTGTTTTAATATAAGCTTTAAAAAACAACCAAAGTTCTGACTTGACAAATAAAGAGAAGAAGAGAGTCATAAAAAGTTTTTAAGGTTCACTTTTGGCTGCGGAACCATAAAAAAGACACGTTCCCCGTCAATTCTATGAAAAACTTAAGTACTAACTCGCACCGCCGCCGCCACACAATAACGCCAGGCTGAGTCAATATAGAAGCGCCTTTATTTGCACGAGGCACAAAGAACGGTTTGTGCAAATACTGGAAATTTTTCTAGTAAATATATTTATTTACACCATTACATGAAAGGTCGTCACGTTTCTGCCCGGGAACGAAGCGAAAGAAGTAGGTAACTCAATATTGTTGAAAGGTTTAAAAGTTCCGCGAATAATGTAAGGGAAACCTGACATGAGATTTTTAAATATCATTATTTAAAATCCTCCACTCTTTGGTTACCTACCTGGCTACACGTTTCTACGCTTTACGCAGTTCAAATTCTATCGGGAGCAAGTGTTACCTTGATGAGCAGAATCATTTATACTCGGAGTCATGAACGCTTATGATTATTAATGTGTATTGTATTCCTATCATATGCACTTTTTACCCTAAGTAAAAGCATAATTAATATATGCCAGGTTATTAATATGATGGGAAAATAATACCAATAAAATATAGTAGATATTTTTAAATAACAACCTGACTGACCATTTTTAATGACTTACGTAGTATAAAATCATCCTCTTCTTTACACAAGCATCAATCTTTTTTGATAATTAAAATGCAATACTTACTCAGAGTCTAGTTTCAATCCCAGACAATACCTAAAAATACTATTTTATGATTAAAGATGGATACAAAGTTTATTGTTTTATTCTTCAAATGCAGAGCACTTAAATCGTATACCGCTCCGTCTAACTAAATCGGTACAAACAAACACAAAACCCAACTTGTAGTTACGGCGCACGCGGTCTTATCGCTAAGAAGATTGGACAGCTATAAAAAAGAAGTAACCATAAACTAAGTTTGAATTATTTCCTTTTTAGAAGTACGAAAGTGGAGGACGAGATTTGCAGCGGAAACTTATAAAGTTAGCTTAGATTTATTTGTTGCCCTGAACGTGTACCGTTCAACTTTCCATATAAACTTAACGCCGAGCGGCGTAACTTTTCGATTTACCCAATGATGCTTAATTGCAGTGTTTATTTCATTATGTAACTTCATTCTCTTTGCTTTCTACTTCTTAAACTTAAGAAGAAATTGAGAAATTGTATTAAGACTTACATTTAGTAGCAAACCTGAAGATTTACTGAATGATGAGCAAGAACAAGAAATTATTCTAAATCAATATAATTACTCGTAAAGACAGACGCTACTGTTGCTACGACAGATTTTACTGTTTAATACCCAGTTGTTTTGAAGGTCTCTATAATTTCACTAATCGTATTAGGGTTTGAAGACCCATTATTTAAGCCGCGAATTTAACCAACATAATGATATTAAAAACCACAATTAATTAACACAAATATTTCGTTTTGGACCTGACGGTGTTTTCTTTGTGTTTATACTCGCCCGGCTTGTTTGTAGTCTCTGCGTTTACGAAATTTTGTTGATCTTGTTAATTAATCGTTTTGTATGCAGACAGGCTCTGGGACATTCTTGGCGGGGCTTTTATTTTTTAAATTAACAGAACCCAGACTCCGTGGGCATCTGTGGTGATATCGTCGCGTCATACGAAGCTATATTGGACGTACGTACGAAATAGTTTAAATACAAAGAGAACAATGCCATTGAACGCTCTTGATCTACTAGCTGTAGTGGATTCGAATATATTCGGAATTTAATACTGACCTCAAAAATATTTTCGCGTTGAATACTACTGCGCAATATTTTCATACGTATTACCAGTTTTGTGACTATGACCTAAATATTCTACGTTCTATTTTGTTCTAAATTAAGCTTAAATTTTAATTAGTTATCCTTCAAGGAGTGACAAGTCTAACTCGTCTGAAAATGTGCTTCCCGCGAACACGGGCTTGGCTTGGATTGAATAACCGGTTTAAAATGTATGACTTACCTGTCATAATCCGTGCAGTCTGATGACCTGGTGCATACTTGATAAGAGCGCATTCGCGTTTAAGCAAACTCACAGCTCCACCTGCGCTGCGCCGGCTGCTGAATTTCCACAGATTGAATAATAATATAATTCATGAATATCGCGTGTTAAAATATAGATAGTTGAGAATTTCAGTGAGTTACAATATTTTCATATTCGTACAACATTCGTGTCTATTGCTAATTATGTATACCTAGTCAATAGATGTACATATGTAACATACCCGTTTATTGGTAAAATTATTTATTGTATCAGGCAGTCGAGTAAATTATTTAGCTAATTTTATGGAGCTTAAATAATATTTTGGGCTTAAAACCTAATCACTGATTCACAAAGATTATGAAAATATCTACCTATATTAAACGTAATTTGTGTTTCAGTCACTGAAATTAGTTTACGATTAAACATCAACGAACTACTTGATTACATTATCTAATGTCCAGTAACGATGTCCCTTTAGATATGCTCGTATCTTCAAACCCTTTAAAGTATTGAATGCCTACGATAAACGCCCTTTGAACTCGCAATAGGAATTCGCCCGGTGATTAATAGCAATCTTATCAGATTCCAGCACTATACATTTGCCGGGCCCATCGTAAGGACCCTTAATCGAGGACCTCCCGGAAAGGTGTAAATTAATTACTCTGATAGCTCTAACTCTACGGTACATTAATTTCTAACTAATTGATTATTTGCAGGTACGGTGGCACCTAGCCACTTAAATGGAACACCCAAATTGACAAATAGAGTGCCGTTCGTAATGCCGTTTTACTACTCAAACTGCGTTAGATAGAGTACCTTTGGAATACGTTGGATAAACACTCTAAATTATTTCGCGTTAGATTTCATAGTGGGAAAATTATTACAGCTTTATCGGCAATTCATTTACCTAAATCTATCACTGCTGAATAGTTTTATCATTAATAATACTTTAAATAACGTCATAAATAACCAGGGTGTCATATACTCAAGATCATATCAAACCTTCATTAAACTAAAAGCAAAAGGTTACCTTTTGCCGCTGAGCTGTCTGTAGATTTAATACAGAGAGACTATCGCGTTTCCTCGAAACTTTGTGTATTCCCGGGATAAAAAGTACCTTAAGACACTCGGGAATATCGTCGTTTACTATTGCTAAAAGAATTTTCAGGATCAGACAAGCGATCCGGATATTACCCCCTTGAAATATACGAGCATTTACAAACAACTTTACTGACATCGAAATTTATGCGTAGCTACAAATTCGTTTCGTTATATTAATCAGTATTCAGTAAAGTAAAAGCTCTCAAATTTTATTTAAGCCCATTATTACAGTTTCGTGAAACTTTAAAGTCATTTGCAAAATTCTAAATCAAAACCGAGCTTAAAAAATAATCTCATTTAAATCGGCAGACATTTCTGAAACAAACGAATTCCCAGCTGAAAAAACTTTGCAAAATAGTACCTATTGTTGGGAAAGTAATAATTGAAGATGTATTAGTAAATGATCAATGATTAATGGATGGGAGTGTTTTCTTGTTTGAGAGTGACGCTCGGTCTGCAAGCGATAGGTGGGGAGGCTGCTAGGGCGGGCTGGCGCGGCAGTCCGCCGTGACCGTCTAGGCGGCCGCCCGCGCCGCGCGTGACTCTCTCATGCCAGCCGGCTACCACGCACAAGGAATGACCAGTGCAACAGTGATTGTGCCCAAAGTTCACGTGGTGTTGTGCTAAGTGTGTGCATTGACAGTCAGCGCGCCATGCGGTGAAGCGCTGGCACGTCTCCTTGCCCGGATATGGTGGACCCCCTGAAAATCTTTTGGGTACTCACAAACAGCACTTATCTGGGTAAAAAAATTAATTAATACTAAATTCGTTAACGTCGCCCGAATTCCGGTGAAATTAGAAGCAATTAAAATTGCTCTCGGCTCTTCTTCGCTAAATTGTTTTAAGTTCGCAAGTATCAAAATCACTCCAGGTGGATTATTAATGGTTAAGAAAATTGGCGTGTTAAGTTATTAAACCCTTTAAGGTACGAAAGCAATTAATATTAATGGGATAAAAATGTCTACTGACGGTAGGTATAATCATTAAAATTAAATTATAAATTTTAACGAACCAAAATTTTATTATAGCAAAATTTTGTTGTATCCTTTCGTTTCATCTTAAATCAAACCTAACGGAGACGTTATCTCCGTACTTTAAAGGATAGTTAGTAACCTGGTGTACATCTGCGAAGATATATGCGTATTTGTAAACACAGCCACATCCGTAACTAATAAGAAATAATATACCGTGCCTGAAATCTCAAAGGAGCGGCATAAACGGCATGCCACGCCGAATCCGTCGTATTTGTTTTTTCCGCAAAACAGGAGTGCCTAACTACAGGGGTGTAGATCGTTTACGACTCTCTTTTATGGTTCATTCCGCATTCGATTTGCTAGGAGCTCTCGCAAATCCTATCCAAATGATTTCTGGGTGCTATATTCTACGTACATCCGCTCTTAAAAGGCACCCAAGGTTACAAAATAGAGCCCTACTTTCGTCTGTATTCTTCGCATAAATCCAATGTATTTTAAAATCTGCCAGTAGCTTTACGAAGCAGCTTGCTGCGCTCTTATCTCGCAACTCTTTGTATCGAGTAAGATGGGGTCAAGCTAGATGTAGTGCTGTTTAAAAAATGAGATACAACTTGGCACTGGAAGCGTGTACTTTATTTGTAACTAGAAAACGCTCTTGTGCGTTTCAATCAGTTATTTCCTGAGGGAATTCCCAAGCAATAAGCACCGATAACTGGGCGTGTTTTATTCGTATGTTACGATGAAAATAAATCCTATGAGAATTATTTCGAATGTTATTTATTTATTTTAATTGATATGCAGGAAATGTGCAGGAAGCATATCAATTAACAGAAACGAAATGTTCTAGTATTTGTGTTTTATAGTTTGCAAAAACCTACACATCGTTATTAGTCCAGTCAATGAATGCCTTAACGACGGTGTAGAGAGAAATCCGTGGAACACAATTTCTGACCTCGGGACTTTATTTAGCCTAGTTAGGTGCTGAACATAGCAAAAGTCCCCGCCCTTAGCCCTTGAGCCGGCGGGGAGAGGGGGGTTTAAAGGTACCACTTTTCGGTTTTTCGCTTAATCCTCGGAAACTATGCGTCCTAGTGACATGACTACTATGAACCAAAAAAAGCTTATTCAATTTGCTACAGGTGAGACCGTCAAGTTTTTCTATATCTTGTATAGTTTTTGCGGCATCTGCACTAGAAGGTCTGTAAAATTGGAAATTTTATTGTTGTCTTACATGTTCCTTTCAGGAGAAAATCGACTAAATCAACATTGAGCAAACACTATAGATATGCGGGAGCATGTTAAGCCTAGTTCCATAGAGGGGACTGCACCGTGCGTATATTTAGACGAACCAATTAGAGCTACTTTTGACTCCTCATCATTCAAAAACTACTGTGCATTAACACTTCAAATTTGGCTCATGTATTGAGACTTGCAAGATATACATCAGCTTCAAATTTCATAAATATACCTCAAACGGTTATTTAGGTATTGACGTTCAAAAATCGATATTTAGAGCACTACTATCTATCTATCACATGTGAAATGTTAAAATTTACTGGTTTTTTATTTGTTCCTTTGTATTTACATAACTACCTTTCTGGATGCCAAATTTGAACCTTCGAGGTCATCTGGAAGTGGTTAGAATTTGGTCTATAGGTCAGACATGTAGATTTTTGGACGTCAATATCTAAAGAACCGTTTGAGGCATATTTATGAAATTTGAAACTGATGTATATCTTGCAAGTCTCAACACATGAGCCAAATTTGAAGTGTTAATGCACAGTAGTTTTTGAGTGATGAGGAGTCAAAAGTGGCTCAAAGTGATTCGTCTAAATATACGCACGGTGTAGTCCCCTCGCTGGAACTAGGCTTAACATGCTCCCGCATGTCTAGAATGATTGCTCAATGTTGATTTAGTCGATTTTCTCCTGATGGGAACATGTAAGACAAAAATAAAATTTCCAATATTACAGACCTTCTAGAGCAGATGCCGCGAAAACTATACAATTTATAGAAAAACTTGACTATCTCATCTGTAGCAAATTGAATATGCTTTTTTTGGTTCATAGTAGTCATGTCACTAGGACGCATAGTTTCCGAGGATTAAGCGAAAAACCGAAAAGTGGCACCTTTAAACCCCCCTCTCCCCGCCGGCTCAAGGGCTAAGGGCGGGGACTTTTGCTATGTTCACCTCCTAACTAGTCTAAATAAAGTCCTGAAGTCAGAAATTGTGTTCTACAGTTTTCCATCTATAATGCTTTATTGACTGGACTATATATTTTTATATTTAATTTTGCAGTTAGTAATACCTATATAGAACTTCATTTTAATTAGTTAATAAAAGCCATTATAACTTCTTAATTAAGCTTGAACCTTTAAACTAAGCAAAGTCACTTTGATATAAATTGAAGTAGCAGAAAAAGATCAAATACGAGTACCTACCTACGTGGAATTTCATTTCTGTGAACAAATACATATGTAATTATGATATCGAGTTCGCGTTCGGGGTCAATAACTGAATTCACTGTTAATTTTTTTTGTAACCTATCTCTTCAGGGTAAGTCTTACCCAAAGCTGTATGTAAATAACACGTATTGGACTCTAGAGTAGGGATGGCAAAAAGTATCTAATCATGGATTAACAAGGCGCCAACGTCGAGGAAATGGAATAATCTCGTTAGGGAGCGATTATCATAATTACGGGAAGGAAAATGCATTAACATTTGTTTGCCACCAATTCCGGTATTTATGTTTGTAGAAAAATCTTCAGCTTTTTTTTACGACGCTTCAGTGACCTTAAGCAACTGAAGTCTAAGGTTTTCCTTAAATTAAAAGTAGCTTAAGTATAGAACAGTATTGGCACTTGAACCACGTCATAATCTATAAATAGAAGAGAGAGGACGAGAGTTCTTTGTCCGGAACAATAACCAAACAAAACAGTCCTCGGATGGATGTACACATAATGGAAGACTGTAAACAACTTCAAGAAAATTATTTTTTCTTGTTTTACTTTGATATTACTAAAAGCACTTGGATTTTTACCTGTAGGACCGTGCCTGAAAACTTTAATGTGAAAAGAAATATTCACGTGTATTCTTGAAAGTGCGTAAGAGTATTTTTTGCTCAACTAGCTATGCTAGCAATTTCGTAGGCGCTAGATCGGTTCCCAATTAGTATTTCAGACTCATTGTCTTGAAGTGAAGTTCTAAACTAGATTCTAACTGAAGCAAAGAACAAGTCTGTTAGTGGATTTTTACTCCTATTACTTTATTTTGACTCCTTTGGTCCTAAATAAGTATTTAATCCTCACTCTTTCTTTTTTCTTTCTTTATCATATTCTAAACTTTCATTAGCGTATTTCGAACAGATATCTATCACAAAGCAAAGTTTAATTCACCACTTTGGCAGACCATATCATATTAACGAGCTTTCGCACAGTTTCCCACCGAAGCGCATTAACTTTTTTCTGCGGCAAACAACTCCATTTATAGTAATGCATCCGATATCGTATCTACTTAAAAATGTATCAAGTCTTCACACCACCTGTTGGTACTACGTATTTACGAGTATGATCCGGCTTATGTTTCACTCTGCGATATTAAATTGAATGGACGACCCTTCTCACAACGCAATCATCTCAGGTATCAATACAGCGGATTGAAAGCTTGAATGAAAATTAACCTATTAGGTGTATCACAGAGACACAATACTCGTATACAGTTCACATGTACAAAGGAGAAGCAATAACAAAACAATAGGCTAGTTGCCTAAAAAAATTTTTTTAGTCCGTAATGTTTAATATCAAAAAATATTGGACACATATATTTTTATTTGTCAATCTAACAAATAATTACATAGTTATGGTGCGTTGAAGTTGCGCACGACGTCACAACGTGCGGCATTTTTAAGCAAGCGTTGACGTTACGGGCCTCTTCTTATGAACTTTGGGGCGCTTTATCTCTTTAAATTTTCATTAGTTTGAAAAAGTGAAAAATACGTGTAGAGTATTTTTTGATAAGTTAACTGACGGACTAATTAAAACTCTTGCTTTTTGACCCAGGCAACATCCCCATTGACCCATAGGCCACAATACACGAGAATATGGTTCACCGTTCTGGAAATGTTAGTATGTAGGATTGTTAGTGTTTCTAAATAGTATTGTTTCTTTTAGTATATCTTTACTATTAATTATACTGATGTAAATCAGTGTCGTAACACACTCGGTCACAACTAATGCTGAACTACATATAAACCGGGAATAGAGTTTTAATTGGTTGTGTTTATGTTTCTTTTTTTATAATCTGAAAATGTCAATATCATTCCGTTTCACGTTTTTAATACCCGTGTTTTCAAAGTCAAATAAAAGTGGTTTTATTCGCCATTAATGCGGAAGTCGTGAGTTGCAACGGAATGTGAAATAGGATGACAGAGGCAAAGACACCCCAACTTTCGGGCTTAAATTTAATTAATCACAGTATTTCGTTTTACATAAAATTGCTTTACATTTTACTTCAGTTCCGGGATTATTTACTCAGTTCACAAATGTAATACGCTTACCATTAAGTGACCCACAAGCCTCTAGCAATTCTTATACAAAAATGTATTTTACAAAACCATTGAAGTAGGAAGTAAGTGCTTCGTAATTATTTATTACATCAAGTTGTGTGCCGTTCTTCTGAAGGATTTCAGTCATTAAGTCCATTGTTGGTGTAACTCTTAACATTCAACTGTGTGGGGCCTCATTACTGCCGAAATTTATTACCGTCGA